GGCTCTCGCAATTAACACTGGCATTAAAAGCAGCCCAAAGATTCCGATTCCAATTATTTATTACACTTTTTGGTGCCTTTTGTGCTTTTGCTTCTGCTGCCCTGTGCAGTTTGTTTAAACAAAATCAATCTAAATCGATTGCACTACATTTGGAAAATAGAGACGTAAATCAATGGGTAGACGGAGGAGGAGGAGGGTCGGGCCGGGGAATAAGCAGAACCAGAGATTAAAGAGCCCTCGGCCGGGGCGATAACAAAGTGGTTTGTCCGCTGGAAATTAAAGCAAGCTGCGCAAAGTGAAGGTGCCGCGGGCAATGCCACCAAAAGAGGCAAGTACGTGAGCGTACAGTAAGTACATTCGAATTTAGAGGGTATGGAAAGGTATATATAGTATAGTAAAGAGAGGTTTAAATATTCCTCAAACTATTCTTAATGTTATTCTCAACCTTATGAAATTGTTCAAAAATTCTAGCTATAGAAAAAGACCTAATGCTAACCAATATTAATGGTAATTATACAGTTACTCCAAGCGGTTTAGTCTGGATCGGAAAGGGAAAGTTAAACATTTATTGTTAGGAAGCGCTTATAGTTTGGGTTTAAATATAGGAAAATATATAAATAGCCGGTGGCCATTATGTAGAATGTTACCGGGCAAGTACAGCAAAAAGGAGGAATACATTTACGTCACTTTCCAAACTTTTTATAAAGGTTAAATACGGGAACAGAGAAGTTTATAATGTATTCCGCCTTATATCCATTAGCAATACGTGGGCAAAGGTTACCGAGTGGCTTGACAGAAAGTTAAGAATATCGATAAAAAAAGCTTTTTATTGGAGCAAATAACAAAGGTTATTGAAAGTTATTTCAGAAAGTTGAGCAGTATTTAACTTAACATGCGACATTCCTTATGATAATGTCACTTTGGTTTTACCCCCGCCCAAATTTTACCGAGGATATCGGTTAGTCGTTGCCCCCAATCCCTCGCTCCCTCCTCAAGTGTTTATTTACACTTGTCTTATGTCTTATTTCTTGTTTGGAGTCTTCGGCGCGTTTTCTTCTTTCTTTTTTTTTTAAGTAAGCGATTAGTGGCGGAAGACAATGAAAATTTGTCACTTGACAAGGCAAAAACAAAACGATTTCCATTTGCCCGACGACAAATGAGACATAAGGCAGGCATAAGTGGATCCCAATTCTGCCCCTTAAATGCCAATGTATTGGAAGTAACAGCCGAATCAACAAAACAATCGTCTGGAGAGGACGGATGGAGGCCCGCACACACACTCGATGATTGTTATTAGTACATTTGCCGTGGAGTATATCTAATTTGCCATTGATGTGTGCATTAAGTTTGTACTGGGCGGCATAGGAATTGTCGTAAAACATTAGTGTCCCCCGAGATTAGAGCGAATAGAGAAAAGATAGGCCGAGATGGCAGGGCGGCGGCGGAAAAAGGCTGGCTCATCGCCCTTTTATTTGACATTGGGCAATATTTATTGCGAACTCATTTCAATGCAGGCAGAAACTAGCAGGAAAAGCTGACAGCGAAGAATATACAGTAGAAATTGCGGAAGAGGGATCTCCATTGGTCTATAAAAAGTTATCTTTATTGATGTTTGAACTAGGTAATAAATATTTGAATATAAAATAATATTGCCAGATGCTACATTCATTTAAAAGAGAATCACAGTGTTCATTACAATCTTATACATACATACGTCAAATACCCCGAGTTTACAAAGAATCTTTTAAAACATTCATTATAATACTATTAAACTAGATAATCAGATTAAAATTGGATTTGTAGAACGGAACAAAAGTTTTGGTTATGGGATACATTAAGGTAAAGTCATATAGTGAAATTTGTATCCAATTTCCAAGGAGTCAAAAGCATAAAACATTCATTATAGAACTATTAAAATTAGATAATCAGATTAAAATTGGATTTGTAGGACAAAACAAGAGCTATGGTTATAAAATACCTTAAAATAAAGTCATATAGTGAAATTTGTATTCAATTTCCAAGTAGTTAAAGATAGGGTGACGCATGAATGTTCGTTTTGGGCAAGTTTTACTGTCGAAGGATAGAGCAGGCGACAAGCTACGCAATTCGTACAAAGCGGAATGGCAAAATACGCCATCAAAATAAATAAAAACAGGAGAGAACGGAACTGAACGAAGGCGAAAACAAATTCGGTAGCACAGCATTCGGGGCAGTGTGAGGGAAAGGGATAGAGATAGTACGGGGAGGGTTATACCGTTATGCGTCCCACCCAAAATGTAATGAAATCCTTTGTGTGCGTGAGCTTACGTGTCGGTGCTACTGTGTGTGTGCTTGTGTGCGTTTTGTTTGTCAACTTTGGCGAGGCGGGACATAAAAATGCTAATACAAAACACTACAGCAAATTGCGGCAAAATAAGTTGTGAGATGTGCGAGTGCCAGGACTACTTAACACCAACTAATACAAACTAACTTGGCTCGCAGGATATATCAGGACACTTACCGTTTTAATCAGGCGAACACACCGCTAATCCAAATTGGTAACACCCACACAGACGGAGAACAAAACACTGACACAAAGACACTAATTTCGGCACTTTGCAGACGGCAAAACGGAAAAACTGGTGCCGCAATTTAAATTCGACTCTTGTGTTGCGGCTTTGATTCGTTTCGATTCGCGCAGACAAACGAAATTCAGGAATTTCAAGTGGAAATCTCGTTTGAGCACTTTTCGACCTGCGACTTACGAAGGCGGCGCGGCAGAAAACTTTGGCCTTAACTTGGGCTTTAAAATGGCTGTGTGCAGAGCGGCTTTGAATGGCGCGCTTCCAATTGCAAGTGAATGAGTCTCGGTTTTTGGTTATTTCCAATTGCAAATTCTTTATTATCCCAACACTTCACTCTTTTAACATTTGACGCTCGACGCGACGCGATTTTAAAATGATGCGTGCGTCCGCTCGCATCCGTTGCCTTTCGAAAACTTTTTTTTTCTGTTTTGATGGAGGTGTTTAGGCTAGAGGTGGACTCATACCGATAGGACTATCGATTGGAATGCGATATGGTTGGCACCTCCGCTTAAAATATAGCTGAGACTCAACACAATTTATGGAGTGGGGCTGCCAGACTGTCGCTGTAAGCCGGGCTTATTAACAAATATTCGAAATAAATTATAATAAAGAACAGTAAATAAGTTACTAATTTTTAGATGTCTCAAGAAGAGATTATACTTCACTTAATCATTTATCTGTATCTCCATCTCCTATGTATTTCACTAGGGTTCATAAACAAGTCTGGCAACTCACTATCCCAGCCCGCCAGAACGTGCTAATTTGAAAATTACGCGGATTAACTTTTTTGCAGCCGAAACCGATGCAATATGCAAGTCACAAAAGAAAACGCATGGAAATTGCGTGACACTTTAATCGAAATACGCTGAAAATGTGGCTGACTTCCTGTGCCGGCTCATTAGACGCCTCTGCCGGTTGTGCCCTCCTGGACTTCCGCTTCTTTTTCACTTTTTTGACCGGTCACGTTTATTAATCGGCTTAGGGCTTACTTCGTTTTTCTTTAAATACCCGGTCCTCAACTACAGGGCACGTAGACCGCCCATTGTTGGGATAATTTTAAGGGCAACTGCGTCGACAGTTGTGATCCCTAAGCTTGAAATATGGAACGAAAGAGGGGTGGGTCGATCGACGCACAATACCGGTTATAGGGATCAGGAGAGCTCACACACATTGAAGTACCAACTAGTTGTTTTCGTTATTATTCGCATAACTACAAATTATTATTCGTATTTTATATAACTAGCGCTAATCAAGTCTAAGAAAGCAAGCGGATATGTGGATCGCATAAGAGTTACGCTATGTACGGTACGATATTAGTCAGTTAAATCACAGATGTATTATTTTGCGCGCACTCCTCCGCCTGTCCAGCCTCCAGTCCGAGCTCCAGTTCCACACCGGGTGTCCTATCCGGTGGCTCGGCGTTCAGCACGAGATTCTCTATGGATCGGAATGAGGCGTCCTCCAAGTGGGTGGACATGGCGGTGGCCTGGGGGCGGGGCAGGGTGCTGGCAGTGCCCACATTGCCGCCTCCCTGCGACTGGCGGTGTCGCACCGAGGAGCGCAGTATGGTCACCACATCCTCCGCCGTATATTGGCGCCTCTCCAGGGTGGATGCCCCGGAGCGATGCAGCTTTCTGCCCAGCGATTGCGAGCGTTGGGCGTAGCCAGCGGGTCTCTGGTCAATCTCAATGGACTCGGGACTGCTGCTAGACGCTGGCGAAGGATCCGCATTGGAGCTACTGCCAGCCGGATTGGTCAGTATGGTCAAGTAATCAGGTGGCGCCGCTGGCGAAGCGGACTCCGCATCAAGGGAAAGCACAGGTCGAGTGCGACTAGAGTCTCCCAGAACCCTGTGGGTTGATTATTTATTAATTATATGTTTGGTTCCCCTCAGAGATTTAACTTCTTACCTGCGAACACTTCGTCGAATGCTCTGGCGAAGAAGCTTGGCAAGACGAGCTCCAGTGGCCGTGGTGTAGGACGGAGGTGGCGTGTACTTTGGCGGAGCATCGTTCTGGGCATCGTGCTGGGTTCCCTCCGACGTCTGGCCCAATGCATTGCGACGTCCTTGTGCCGCATTTTGTCGAGCGGATGGGCGACGAGGCTCCTCTCCCTCCTCCGGCGGTCGATACAGCAGCTGAATACGCTGAAAAAAGTAGAGAACAGAACAATAAATTAGGAAAGAGATTAGGAATTAAACAAAGAGCAACTTACCTCCAAGATATCCGGAGGACCGTGGGCCAGATACCGGTAGATCTGAATAATAGCAGTCACAGGAATCACTAACAACACTCCGATCTGGATGAGACTACCCATCTTCCTGGACCAGTATGTGAAGTAAGACTTTCCACGCCAATAGTAAAATTGATTCGACAGCGAAGCTTTGTAGTCCACGACCGACAGCGTGATCAGGCCAATGGGCAGTAAAACGTTCCAAGACAAAGCCAGGAAGGCAGACATTGAGCCACAAAGTCGCAAGTCATTCACCAAGTCATCGCCGTTGTATGGACGCCCTCTTATCAAGAACACGCCAAATATCTGAGTAGTCCAGATGATCGGAATGAACCAGGAACCTCCCAGCAGAAAATCCACATAGTACAGTATCGAGATGCCCATCTCGGTGGCAAAGGGGATGCTCAACAAGAGGCCAGTGACGCAGCTCAGCAAAACGGAACTCGTAGAGTTGCCTAAGGCACTCGAGATGGGTTTCCACATCACGCACAGCTGCGCCAATCCGAATCCCGCGAAGGCTGCAAAGGCTACGGCGGCCCACACCCAAGAGATACTATCGCTGGCCAGCGAAAGCACGGCCGGAAAGATCTCTGAGATAAAGCGAAGCGCCTGGAAGCCACTCTCCACGTGAATCATGGTGCGGTTCCTTCTATAGGTCTCTCCAATAAATGAGGAGTAATGCGGAATCAGCGATCGCGGATAAGAAAGCAAATAAGGATTGGTGTTTGACTGCAGCGAGTAAATTGACGTATAGCAATCTGGGTTTTCTGTAAGCAAAAAGTTAAACAATTAGCTGGAACTTTTTTATATATGCATTTAAAAACTCACCGAAGGATCCAGGCACATAGACGTAGCCATGCTGCCACAAAATCTGGGCACAACATAGGGCTAATAAGGCCATCAATCCCAATCCAATCAGGGTGAACAAAACTAAGAGAATCGCATCTCTTCTTAAAGCCGCCTTGTTGGCATTGGCGTGGCTCCTGCTGGTGATGGCGATTACTGAGGCTCCTAGGAGGCCCCAAGTGAGAAACGTCTCCTGAGTAGCAGCCGTCCAGCTATTCGAGTTCACCAAAAAGTCGTCAAAGTCGCTGGCAGCAAATATATTCTAAAAGAAGAGATTTAAAGAAAAGTTTAAATAAGAATCATATTTTTGAATTCACATGAAATTTAAAAATTAAAAACCATTAAACAATTTAGTCAATAAAGCAAGTGCTATTTTATTTGATTGGAATTGTTAAATGGCTATTTTATTGGCAAAAATGAAAGATGGACTCTGTGCAAGCCAGAGTTTATCAAACTCACCTGTATCCTGCTGGGTTCCACTACATAGACAAACTTGGCGGTCACCACAGCAAGGGTCACCAACGGCAGCGTGTATATAATGAAGGCCAGTTTTCCCAAGGACTTTAGGCCCTTGCAGAGGATGAGGAAGACGGCCGCCCAGATGAGGGCCAAATAGAAGGCCAGCTGCTGGAGGAAGTGGCAGTGAGTCAGTTAGATGGGAAGTGGGATTGCGGGGAAGGAGGAACTTACCCGATCATTGACGTGGAAGCGTATTCCGCTGGCATCGGGATGTTTGGCCAGATGCAGACGCTGCAGTACCACCACGTTGAAGTACTCGGCCACCGTTTGTGTGAGATTCCCGGTGGCGTTCGAGGCATCATAGCGGTAGGGGAATGCCAGCTCTTGCCAGCGATAACCAGTGCTCGATGCAGTGGGGAACACATCCCTTAGGTAAACAAGAATCCAGGCCAGCGACACCGTGGAATACAGTGCCAGAAAGCATTGCTGCATCACCAAGGCAATGCCCACTCCTGCGCAAATCGGGCTGATTTTCCACATTGACACTGGACCGGCTCGAATCTTGGCGCCCAGGCACATCTGCAGCCAAAGAAGTGGGATCCCGAAAATCACGGAGAGCAGCAGAAACTGCAGCAGAAAGTTGCCACCAAAGTTAATGGTGAGCACGGCAAATCGGCACATATTAAAGACTCCCAAAGTGCATCCAATCAGCGCTAGAGTGCGACTTCCGGCATGAGGCCACTGGCTGTTGAAGCCACACTTTTCACGTAGAAGCAATTGAAGTTGGTGCAGCGGTTCCAGAGGCGTGGTGCTGCTGGCGCTGCACATTGTTGTGGTCTGCACCGGGTCCTGCTCCTGATCCTGCTCAGCGGAGCTGCTCCCACTGCTGCTGCTGTCCGAGGGCAGGGAAACTGGACTGGGTATCCGTGAGGAGTGCGCCGAGCTGAGTTCCGAGCAGGTGGACATAATGGGGTGCTCGAACGTCTCCAGTTGATGCGGCTCCCGCATCTGCACACGAGTGGGAGCACTCTGTGGCCGACTCTGGGTTAAAATTAGGGAGCGAACTGGAGTGGGTGGTCCCTCCAAGCGACGACCATATTGTCTGGGTCGTGGTTCCTCGCTGGAAGCTCTGGCCGATGTCTGCAGCAGGTTGTCAAAGATGTGTGCTTCTGTGAGCATCTGAGAGCCACCGGGAGTTGCCTGGCAGTCGCCTTGGGAAAAACAACGACGCATCTCAGCCTCGCGTCTTGGAGGCAGCTCTACCAACAAGGTGGGTAGGTCGTCTTCCTCCCTTTCGTCACCTGTGGCTTTGGTGCCATCCTGATCCATGGCGCGACGCATGGACTGACGCCTCCAAACATCCATCGCTGGTTCTGTAGATGCCTCTAGAGAGGCAGTAGAGGAAGCTAGAAAAAAAAGATGATTAGGTTATCAATTCCAGACAACTTCTTTGCAAATCTAAGATAGGTTGAAACTAAGTTCAATCAGTTTAAAACCTTTTCCTAGCTTAGCTATCTAAAGTGATTTCCAACCTGTTTGGCTTGTGGGTCTCAGTGAGCAGCTGAAGGTCTTCCTTAGTTGATGCTCTCTCTGAAAATCTCCTTGAGCAGCCTCCTGCTCATCGCTCATTTTCTTATTCGACTTCTTTTTCCTACTCAAAGGCAGAGTTCTGGTTCTCGGTTCCCTTTTTAAGCTGGATTGCCCGCCCATTATGATCAGGGACTCCTCACGACTCAAAGCATTATCCATTTCCTCTAGGTAGTTATCCAGGTCCATCAGGTAATCCTCCACCTTGTCATCGTCGCTGCCTGAGTTCATGGATGAGCTTGAGCAGGTGCCATTCAGGTGGGAGGCATCGTGCACATCCAAAATGGCATCCAGTTCGCTGAGCA